TTTTGAGACGGAGCCTCAAGCTATCCCCCTGGGTAGAGTGCCATGGCATCACGCTCACAGCAACCTCCAACTCCTGGGCTCAAGCGAGTCTCCTGCCTCAGCCTCCCAAGTAGCTGGGACTACAGGCGCCCGCCACAACGCCTAGCCATTTTTTGGTTGCAGCCATCATTGTTGTTTGGTGGGCCCGGGCTGGGGATTCAAACCTGCCACCTTAGGTGTATGTGGCTGGTGCCTTAGCCACTTGAGCCACAGGCGCCGAGCCTAACCAGATAGTTTGTGGCTCCCAGTGGACCACATGTAGAATCAGGGTGTGTCAGGAGGCCTTGGCACCCAAGGGACATGTGGGCAGGGCCTTTGTTGAGTTTCCACAGGAAGGGAGAGGCAGAGCAGGGTGACCAGGCATGAGGCTGGCTTCCAGACCTGCAGCAGAAAAGGCCTGGCAGGGCACACTCAGGAGAGAACGTATTCCCTATACCTGCAGGTTTCCCACTGGGATGCTGAGCTGAAGAGACCTCAGATGTGAGGGCATCACAGAAGTGAGAACAGGAGACCCCAGTGAGCAGGGGCCAGACACCCCTGACTCCTGAGAAAGTCTCCTTGCTATAGAGGCTGCCACGGCACATGCTCACCACCCTGTATACAGGGGTGGTCGTCTTGTTCATGGCCTTGCTGCCATGCTGGCCTGGTCAGTCAGAGCTCCCAGGGCAGCAGAACTACTTACTGTGCGTGTGCGTGAGGGTGTGTGTGTCTGTATACAGCAACACCTTTATATAAAGGTTGATTCATTCTGAGAACTGGCTCACACGCCTGTGGGGCTGGGTGGCCAGCAGGGGAGACACCAGTGGGATTTCTGCACTGCAGTCTGGAGGCAAAGTTCCCTCTTTTCTGCAAGGACTGTCTCTACTCTTGCAAGGCCTCCTGCTGGTTAGAGGAAGCCCCTGTGCCACAAAGGGCAGTTGGCTGTGTGGAAAGGTGTGGTTCATGTCCACAGATGCTACCCAGCCACCTTGGTGTTGAGGGAATAACTGGGCACCATCGCCTGGCCAAGCTGACACAAAGAGCGATGTTTTCCTCGCATACACAGATAGTCTCAATGAGACCTGCTGCAGGGGGACTGTGACTGTGAGGTGACATTTGCCACCAGGACCCTGGGCGCAGCACCTTCCTCAATGGCTGAGATAGATGATGGTGTGGTCTTCAGGGTAGAGAGGCGCTGCATGTGGCTGAGTGGGGTGGGGTGGCCGAGAGGACTGTTGCTGCCTCTGCTTTATTCTCAGGCTACAAAAGCAGTACCTTCTCAGCACTAGCATGCAAATATCATGGATTGAGCAAAGGAAAATAAAAGATCAGCTCACCACGATGACCACTTGTAAGAGTTTCCGTATAGTCTTCCAGATTTGTGTCTATGATTTTTTTAAATTCTTATTTTGATAAAAATAAGCACATTTTTCTAAAATAGCAGCATGGGGTGGTGCCTGTGGCTCAGTGGGTAGGGTGCCAGCCCCATATACTGAGGGTGGCGGGTTCAAACCCGGCCCTGGCCAAACTGCAACAAAAAAATAGCCGGGCATTGTGGCAGGGGCCTGTAGTCCCAGCTACTTGGAAGGCTGAGGCAAGGGAATTGCCTAAGCCCAAGATCTGGAGGTTGCTGTGAGCTGTGGGTAACGCCACAGTACTCTACCAAGGGTGACAAAGTAAGACTCTGTCTCTAAAAAAAAAAAAAAAAAGAAGAAGCATGCTATTTTTGTGAAGTAACAGTGCTCAATTTGTATTCCTAATCCTGGAGGCAGAGATGAGGGGGCAGTGGGCTATCTCCTGTGGTAGGGGCCCTCCTTAGTGCATCCTGACTAGTTGGGAGGGGATAAAGGATGGCGACTTAGAGGGCCTGGCCTGTGAAGGTTGAGGAGGGTGGTGGGGTCACTTGTGAGGGATGCTGAGAAGCCAAGAGCTCCAGGCTCTGATGCCGCTGCTCTGCTGGAGGCCTGGCCCCCAGGAGGGCCTTGGGAGAGGAGCTGGGGCAGCCAAGGCGGGGTCAGAGAGCTCTGAACTTGCTCCCTCCTGGCTGGCCAGCACAGATAATGGGACAAGCTGGTTCTCACCCCAAATGTAGTTTGGAGTTGCTAGGGCAGCCCTGAGGTGCCTTTAGGCCTAGCTTCCTGGGAAGGGCTAGGACACCTTACTGTGTGACTAGGGTCAGAGAAGTTTGAGAGCTGTACCCCAGCCAGCTGTGGCAGGCTCTGCTCTGCCAGACAGAGAAGGTGACTGAGCATCCCCAGTGAGGAGGCCTCCACGTGCCTCACGGCAGGGAAGCCGTGCAGCAAAATGCAATGAACTCAGAGTCCAGGAAGCTGCCCCATAAAAATGATGGAGAGACACGTTCATTGTCACCCTGCAGAGGGGAGGCAAAGCCACGTGCCCGGTAATTGTTTTCCACTCTCCGCACGTTCTGAGGGACATGCTGGCTTTTTAATAGCAGGGGCATGCCAGAAAAATGTCACTTTGATCATTGTGGTGGCAGGAAAAAAAATGGGGCAAGTGAAAAAGAGAGATGACAGCTTCCCTCTGAGGAAAAGCCCAGCTCTGCACAGACACAGGGCCCTCCGGGCACCCGAGAGGGCAAAGGCCTGATCCCAGCACGCAGGTGCTCACAAGCACTTGTAGCGGTTCACAGCCTGGGGGTGGCTGCAGCAAGGACCAGCCTTTCCAAATCTCACCTTGTTTCCAGAGCAAGAGCCACTCACTGGCACTGTCCTGACAAGTGATTACTTCAGAATCTGGGGAGGGCCAGATCTTCCTTGTAGGACAGCAGACACTGCCACTGTGGAATCCACCTTTCAGAAGTCAGGAAGGATGTGAGAGGAGTTGGGGAGCAGTGTGCAGGGTCTGCCCTGCTCCCCGAGCTCTTTCCCTCTGAGCCCCACACCTGAGCTGTGTCTGCTGCTTGCTGTTTCTGTTTCGGTGACAATTTACCAAACTGATTGAGGTAATTAGAGTTAAAAGACATCGTGGATGTGACTGCATGTGAGACTCCTCTCGGTGACACCTCCATGGCTCCCAGGGAGGAGCAGCCTCAGGGCCTCAGTGCTTGGTTAGCGCTCCCTGCCCAACTCAAACCGGCTGTGTGAGCTTGGGAAGAGAGATCTGTGCCTCAGTTATATTTTCATCTGTAATGGGGTTAATCCCATGCCCTGACACAGGACTGTTGGGGCTCCTTCCCATCCAGCCACCACCCTCCTGGTCCCACTCTGTTGGCTACAGAGCTGCACAGGGGAGGGCCTTGGGGGACCAGAACCACGGGGAAGGAGCAACTCCCCACACTAGGGCATGACCTGCTAAACACATGGTTTGTGTTCTCTGGTGGGTGGTGTCAGGAGGAGACCCCCCCAGCAGTCCTCCTTAGCTGTGACTTGGCTCTCTGAAAGCAGAGACTTGGTGCAGGGAGGAAGCCCCATTCTTTCCAAAACAAGGGACTTGGCCTCTACAATGGGTCCACCCAGAAGTGAGCATGACCTTCTCTGGGAAAAAGGGTCTTGGCAAGTATAACTGAGGTTGGATCCTGAGATGACAGCACCCTGGATTAGGGTGGCCAAAGTCCAGTGATGAGTGTCCTTATGAAAGACTGGCAGAGGGATATTTGAGACTCAGACACTGAGGTTCTGATCCCTGCTCTGCCCTGTGCAGTGGGTGTATCCTCTCAGACCCTGGGTATCCTTTTCTATAAAGCAGAGGGAACAGTGCTGGTAGTTCCAGTCCTTTCCTGGGTTGTGGTGGGGAATGCATGAGATAAGGTTGGTAAGGTGCCTGCCCTGTCCCTGGCATACTCGTGGTTCCCCAAGATGTTTAAATTGGTGGCTTAGGTATGACAGTCCTTCAAAGGCAGAGCTTGAGCCAAGCTGCCTGGACACTTCCTTCACAGTGAACCCAACCTGGTGGTCAACTGAAGCCTTTTCCCAATGGGACATGAGGGTGCAACACAGTGTTAGTTGGGGCTCTGCAGAAGAAGCCCAACAGACTGCAGATAGATGTGGATGTCAGGACTCGGCTCATGTAGGCTGAGGACCCTCAGATCCATAGTCAGCAAGCTGCAGACCTGGATAGCCAAAAGTGTGGGTTCCTGGCAGGAGAGGACCCATGACCCAGCTCAGAGGCCACAGGGCAGAGACACAGACACTCCTTACTCAGCCTTTCTGTCCTAGTTAAGCAAGGCCCACTTACACTGCGGGGGGGCCTGCTCTACTCAGCCCAGAGAGTCCAACCTCAGCCTTACCTCATAGACACACCCGGGACAGTGATCAAACACTCCACAGCCCGAGGCCCAGGCCAGCCGGCACATAAGATAAGCCAATGCAGTGAGGGCAGCGTAGGGTGAGACAGGATGGAATGGAATGGGATAATCTTAAACTTCATGCCTCGAGGCAGAGTACTGTCTGATGAAGCCACAGAAATAAGCATTATTAAAGGGATCACAGTGCAAAACATATTTCTACTATGAGTGGAGGTTTAAACAGTTAGAGACCTTGGGGAGCTAGGCTTTCTGTTTAGCACTGGAGTGTGTGTCTATTTGGGGTGCTGGAAGCTGGCTTTGTGAGCTGCTGGCTGTGGGCTGGGGAAGTGGCCCAAGGGGGATCCTCTGCTCAGAACAAGCTCTGGCAATGTGGGGACCACAAACAGGAGAAATAATTAAGTGCTGGATGAATGTAATCCAAAATCCCACAATCATGTAACATGCAAAAGAAATCAAATTTGGTTTAAAAAATCCCAAAGAGGAGGCAGCACGTGCCCAGGCTTTTGTTGACACACCCACCTTCCCTGAAAACAAGCCAAGGGAGGTGGCCAAGCCCCATGGCCCTCCGGCCAGTGGCGAGGCAGGTGCCTGGGGACTCTGGGATGGAGCCTTCACTGGGGTCTCACTCAGGACCCCTCTGTCAGGAAGACCTAGGGAGTGGGGCCACCAGCTAGGCCCCTGGTGCCTGGCCTCAGCGCTGCACTCTCTCCTGCAGGTGTGGCAGTGTGGGGGCAGCATGGAGGTGCTGCCCTGCTCTCGTGTGGCACACATCGAGCGCACCAAGAAGCCCTATAACAACGACATTGACTACTACGCGAAGCGCAACGCTCTGCGGGCGGCCGAGGTGTGGATGGATGACTTCAAGTCCCATGTGTACATGGCCTGGAACATTCCTATGACTGTAAGCCAGGTGCTGGGGGGACTGAGGAGTGGATGGGCAGCACAGGGCCCATCTGGGAAAGGGCTCTACTCACACTGGCCCAGCTGAGGTGCTTGCACCCAGCCCTTCTGGGTGGATATTTCTTCTGAGCCTAGAGTGGTGTCCCATGGTTAGAAGGAAGGGAGGGTGAGCCCCGGGCCCAACCTTGGGACACCATTATGCACAAAGCCACCTCAGGCACGGGCTGGCTCAAAAGCAGATATCTAGCTGGCAACACATGGCCCTCTGCAGAGCCTCAGCTCTGCTCTCCCTGAATAAGGCCTGGGTAGCTGGCATGGTCCAGAGGACTGGTTCTCAAAGTGGGAACCCTGGCCAGTAACATCAGAGACAGTCAGCATCACCCAAGAGTTGGTGGGAATGTAGATTCCCAGGCCCAGCCCAGCACCTGCTGAGTTGGGAACTCCAGGTAGGCCTGGCCACCTGTGTGTTCCTTGACCTCCAGACTCACTAGCATTTGAGAACAACTGTCCCGCACAAATTCTGTTAACTTCAGTGAGTATCTGGGAAAAGAATCTGCCAACTAGACTTGGGACATCCAGGGATCCAGCTGCAGCAGGGCCACGGGAGACTCACATACCTGCAGTGTCAATACTGTCCACAACCAGGGCCCACCCTGGTCTTCTGGAGGGAGGAAGCCTCAGGTCTTATGACCCAGCAGAAGGGGTCACAGGACTCAGCAGTGTGTGGTCACAGTTTACTGCAGTGAAAGGTCACAGATGGAGACCAGCAGAGGGAGCCAGGGCACAGGGGCAGGACCAGAGAGACCAGGTATGAGCTCCCGGCTGCTCCCTCCCAGGGGTCATGGGGCTCCATTCCCCAGAGGTGTGATGACACAGGCCATGTGTTGCCAACCCGGGACACCACACTGGGCTTTGCTGTGTAAGGTTTGTGTTGGGCATGGTCGTGTGGACATGGCTGACCTCAGGCTCCAGCCCTACAGAGGCCAAGCACCCCATAAATCTCACTGCAGCATAACTCTGGTTATGCCCAGGGCCAGGCAAACAGGAGGTTCCAGGGGCTGGAGGGAGCCAGGTCTTGATGTTCAGGGAGTGGACGGGCCAGGTCTGCACACACCACCAAGGACCTTCTATCCAGGCTGGGGCTAGTCCCCAGCTGCCTTGGGCCTCCTGTGAGTTCTGAGAAGACAGCAGGCCACATGGAGATGAGGCCCCAGTAGCACCCCAAACCTCTGCCTGGGGGATGTCTTGGGCAGAGGGAGGCAAGTACACTCCTCACGGCAAGGACCTAAGTCATGGGGCATGAGGCACTTACCTGCCCTTCTGCTTGCTCTGGCCCCGCAGAACCCAGGGGTGGACTTCGGGGATGTGTCTGAGAGGCTGGCCCTGCGCCAGAGGCTGAAGTGCCGGAGCTTCAGGTGGTACCTGGAGAACGTGTACCCCGAGATGAGGATCTACAACGACACCCTCACGTACGGAGAGGTACCGCCTCTGCCCCACCCAGGCTTTCACCCTGCACCCGACACCCCGCTCCTCACCTGTACACACATGCAGGTTCACAGACCCCCAGACCTCCATGTCCCCAGTGAATGACCCCTGTGAATACACATACTTACTTGCATATAAATAGATACAGAGATAGATGTATACACACGCCCACGTGTTCACACAGACGTGCCTATGCACTGTACATACAGCTCCCTGTGGCCCGACCACCCTCAGATGATCAGGGTTTCTCTTGTCACTTGGGGTTGCAGGTGAGAAACAGCAAAGCCAGTGGCTACTGCTTGGACCAGGGAGCAGAAGACGATGACCGAGCCATTCTCTACCCCTGCCATGGGATGTCCTCACAGGTAGGAGTGGTGGGTGCCACATAGCAGGCAGGAGGTGACACAGAGGTGGGCCTGTGAGGTGTCCTGATGCCACTGTGGCTGAGCTCAGGGGTTCAGAGCAGCTGGGGGCCTTCCCTGCACCCCCACAGCAGCATAACAGGGTAAACTAAGAGCAAGGCCTTGGGGTCAGAAGGGCCATGGGAAAGCCACTTGGTATCCTGCACCTCATTACCCATCAATCCACTGGGAAGATGATGGTCCTCAAGGCTGTTATGTGGATTAAAGTGGAAAATGTGGGTGAAGCACTGCCACAGTCTAGACATAGTATAGGAAGTATTCTATTTTTGCTGTTACAGTAGTGTCCCATTAACTGAGAACCTATCGAGTGGTTTTCAGGCCTGGCTCTACCTCAGAACCTCCTGGCAAGCTGGGCTTAGACCCTTGGCCCCTGGTGGCTGAAGTCATTCTGAGGCACTGACCCTGTAAAGAGAGTGATGGCTTTAACCCCAGTCTGCTGGTTAACCACAGTCTGCTGGTGCTGACAGTGCTTCTCTTCAATGTGTCAGACATCATTTAAATTAAGCCCTAGACCTCTGCCTTCCCCTCTTTGCAGCTGAACCTGGAGGGCGCCGCCTCCAGCATCTGGGTGGAGACGGTGTCCACATGGCTAATTGCAGACTGCAGGGGCCAGCCTTGTGGCCTTGTGACAGCAAAGCTGAGGATGCAGCTGCCATCCCCTGCTGCCTGCATTTGCACTCTTGTTAGCAGGCTCTGGACTGACGCTCAGATAGTTTTTCAGTTTTTCATCATAATGGCCTCTGATTAAGAGAGCAAAATGGAACCACCCATCGAGATGCAAATGGCTTCCTTGAAAAAAATCTCATTTGCTGGACTTGTCAACACGCATGCGGATGCCTCTCTGGGTGCCACCATTTTCTTGTCAACCCAGGGCAAGGGGCCCTGTGGGGGCTTCTCAGCACCCAGAGGAGTGAGACAAGATGGCCAGGGTGCACTACATGGGAGAAAAGCCCAGTCTTTCTGCATGTCAGCTGGAGGAGGGCAGAGCTCGGCTGGCCTGGGGGATCCTGGCAGCTGAGTGGGGTGAGGGTTTTCCAGTGACCCTGCAGCCATGCCCATGGTAAGCCCTCTGCCTCAAGAGGATACTGGGTAGCCAGCAGAAGGGGCCTTTCCTGCCGCTGGAAACAGGATGACAGATGGGTGGCAGCTAGGGGAAGGGAGGACACGGGACAGATAGCTGGTGTGACTGAGCCACACCAGAGAGGTCAAGTATACCAATGTCCTCATCTGAGCAGGACACAGCCCATCAGTGGTTTCCTCTTTGCACACTGACCTGAGTTTTCCTGCTCATTGATAACTCCAAGGTTCCCTCAAAACACCAGAGACTAGAGAAGATATGTCCCAATACAGGACAGAGGGCCACTCCCTGGGTCCTGTCTTAAACAGCAGGAGCTTACTGTCTCACAGTTCTGGAGGTCGAAGTCTGAGTTGGTCTGGCTCTCCAGGTCAGAGCTCAAGCCTTGGTACCAAGTGCCAAGTCCTACAAATAGCATATGATGTATCAATGACCACCTGCCCTCAGGCTGAACAGCCCCAACCTGCAGCAGCCTTATTTTGCTCACCGATCTGCAATTTGGGTAGGGCTGGCCCAGCAGGACCAACTGTCTCTGCTCCTCTCAGCAACAGCTGGGCCACCTGACTGGGACTGGACGGTCCGTTTCCCAGGGTCTGTCAAGATGTGTGTTGTCAACTGGAGCTTGGGGCAGGCAAGCAATGTGCTGCCACCTCCCAGCATGGGAATGGTGGCTGCATTCCCAGAGCACAGGAGCACTGTGGCCATTTACAGCACAGCCTCAGAGGTCATGTGCCTCACTACCACAGTGTTCATGCACTCTCTGAAACATTTGTGGATGTAGAAGCTAGGGTCACCCCTTGATGGGGGGTATCTGGAGTTGCATTGTTGCAGGGACTCGTAGGGTAGAAGAAGCTTGTAGGTTACTTTCCAGGAGGACTGTGTGGGGAAAACAGTCTTCCATGATGTATTCAGACTTTGTGTGTACACAAGGGGAAAAGAGAGGCTGAGAGCAAGGCCCTTTAAATTCAAGAAGACAATGTGTGTTACTGTCATAAGGTCCCACTTAGAGATGAGGGGACCGAGGCTCAGTGGGGTGAAGTGACTTGACCACGGTCTGACAGCCAGGAAGTGGCAGGAATTCAGTTTTGGTTTCTATGTTGAAAGTACAGTTGCCACTGTGCAGGGACACATGGATACCAATGTGATATAGTGTCTTGCTATGAAAACCAACATGAGCCAGGACCCTGGAGGTGACCCTGGAGCTGCCCTCATCTGAAAATAATGTTTTCTTGTGGTTTGAGGCCAACTGAGGCTGACCTGGGGCCCATGTAGCATTCTTCTCCTGGGTTCACACCTGAAGCTGCGTGTCCTCCACCCGCAGAGGGCAGGCTCTGAGTAAGGTCCCAGGAAACAAGAGTCCAAGGCAGAGACATCTGAGAGATGTTCCACAAGGTGGGAGACTCCAATGCAGCCACTCAAGAGGCCCCTGTTTACAATGGGTCTGAGGCAGCTACATGACCTGTCCGTGCCCCTTAGTGCTTACCAGAGCCACTGGGGAGACCTGGCAGGTGCACAGGTCAAGGCCCCTCATGGCTCTTGCTGTTCTATCCTCAGCTGGTGCGGTACAGTGCCGATGGCCTTCTGCAGCTGGGCCCCCTGGGCTCCACAGCCTTCCTGCCTGACTCCAAGTGTCTGGTGGATGATGGCAGGGGCCGTACACCCACTCTGAAGAAGTGCGAGGATGTGGCCCGACCAACACAGCGGCTGTGGAACTTCACCCAGGTCAGCAGGACACTGAGGGCCCCAGGGCCAGCCTGACAACATGTGGGAGGGGAGAGAGCTTAAGGCAGGGGGCAGGGCCATGGGTTAGCTGCCCATTCATGAGTTCCGATGCTCAGGAGGTTAGGTGACTTTCCAGGGGTCACAAAACTAAAAATGGGCCAAGCTAGTCAGTTAGTCACAGCCCTGCTGACCCCTCTGCCAGCTTTGACTATCAAGGCTCCCAAACCCCAAGTGAGAGGGAAGAAGATGGAAGCTGTTTGTGGGACATGCCTTGAAACTTACTTCCAGCCAAGTGAGAGAGCTGGAAACCCTCAAAGCCCTGCTGAAAAGAGCCCCCAACTCCCTGTGGTGCCCAGACCCAGCCCCCAACTCTCTGTACCCCCCAGACTCAGTCCCCCAACTCCCTGTGCTCCACCAGACCCAGTCCCCCAACTCCCCGTGCTCCCAAACCCACCCCCCAACTCCCTGTGTCCCCCAGACCCACCTCCCTGACTCTCTGTGCCCTTCTCCCAGACCCCTGACTCCCTGAGGACCCCTAGATCCAAGCCACCTGGCTCCCTGAGGGCCCCGACCCCAATTCTCTTGCCCTAGCCTCCCAGAGTGGCCAGCCCCACCTGACCCATGTCCACCTTGGCTAAGCCTCTGGGCTTTGTGTCCTCAATCCCCATATGCTGGGCAGTGCCCATACTCAGTGGGTAGGGCACCAGTCACATACACCCAGGCTGACGGGTTTGAACTCCGGCCCACCTGGCTAAAACAACAATGACAACTACAACAACAACAACAACAAAATAGCCAGGCGTTGTAGTGGGCACCTGTAGTCCCAGCTACTTGGGAAGCTGAGACAAGAGAATTGCTTAAATCCAAGAGTTTGAAGTTGCTGTGACACCACAGCACTCTACCCAGGATGACAACTTGAGACTGTCTCAAAAAAAAAAAAAATCCCCACATGCCCTCAGGAGTCAGTGGTTCCTCCCAGCCACCATCCGGTTAAGGCCATAGTGCCTCTCATCCCTTCAGCTGGGTGTCCACCTTCACATATGTCTCCTGAGCTTACCTGCCTCCTCCAGCCCCTGCCCGAGTCCTTCACAATGGACAGGGGCAGCGTCTCCTAAAGCCCTGCAGGTGACCACATGGGCACAGTCCTTACAACAACAGGGACTTGCCTGGAGTCGGCAGGGTCAGGGCCCTCTGATGCTCTGGGAGGTGCCTCCTGCCTTTCCTGGCCTCTAAAGTCCCCTGGCCTCTAGCCACATCTCCCACCTATCATCTTTGAGTCCATCTCCAAATGTCCATCATCTTATAAAGATGCCAGTGTTGGGCCAGAGCCAGCTGATACCAGCCTGGCTTCATCTTCAGTGATCACCTCTGTGAAGACCTATTTCCAAATAAGACCATAGTGACCAGTTCTGGGGCTCTGGTCTTGAAGCTTGATGGATTTTTGGGAAACCTTTCTGCTCAGGGGACCCCTCTATCTAAAGTTCTTTGATGGTCTGCTCCTGCCCCCTCCACCCCTGCCCAAGCCCATGCCTCCCTCAGACCTGGGGCCCCCCCATAGACCTAGATCATTGTCTCACTGTGAACAGAGCCTGTGACAAATCAATGTAGGATAGTCAGGACTATGCCTGCCCTCAGAAGTGGGGTCCAGGGCTTTAGTTGCAGGAGCAGCTGCAGGGAGACAGTGGGGATCAAAAGGCCTCCAGGTCTGGTGTTGGCGGAGCCAGTGAGAGACCCTGCAGGATGGGTGCAGGGTGGAGACCAGGGGAGAACGGGAGACTTGGCGGGGTCCCAAGCCTTTCAGGGGGCAGGGACACACCACAACCAACTTGGGGCCTGGGGTTGCCCCACATTTTGGGGGTGCCTCTGCGGGAAGGGGTTGCCTGGGCACTCAACATGACTCAGTTTCCCATGCTTCTCAGAGTGGCCCCATTGTGAGCCGAGACACAGGCCGGTGCCTCGAGGTGGAAATGTCCAAAGACGCCAACTTCGGGCTGCGGCTGGTGGTGCAGAGGTGCTCGGGACAGAAGTGGATGATCAGAAACTGGATCAAACACGGGCGGCACTGACCGCTCCCATCCTCGTCCTTGGCCCTCACTCAAAGCAGACCCTCATGGACCGAGCCCGCTGGGCTGGGGGCCGGGCTGGCACCCTTTGTTCCCCCACTCCAGAACCCAGAGCACCTGGGCAGTGCCCTGCGTGTCTCGAAATGGGGCTCTGTGGCCCAGGACAGCAGAGGCCTGGTGGCCAGGGCACTGGCCACCTTCCTGGACAGGTGGCTCTGCCGGAGGGAGGGTGTCTGAGGACAGCAGACGCCGACTCTGAAACACGTGCCTTTTCTCCAGTATCTCCTGTCCAGGCTTCCGGATGGCCACGTCTTCTGCATGTGCTACAGCCCCCGTACACACCCCAAAGTGGGGTCCACCCTGCCCATGAGGCCGAGCCCCGTACCTCCTGTCAGCAGAGCCCCCATCCTCCTAGCAGAGCCTTGGCCTCCCCTGATCTGGCCTCTCTCTGGCCGGCCGCTCAGCCTCTCTGATCATAACCTAAGTCAGACATACAAATGCAGCCTCCGTGGGCTGGTGTCGGGGATGAGGACACCCCATAGGCATGTTGACGAGACGGACTCCGGCCACATCAACAGACACCAAATAAAGAGCAGATTCAACAACAGAGACACTCGTGTTTGTCTTCCAAGGCGCTGAACCAGCAGATGTGGGGCCAGGCCCTGATCTGCTGTCTGGCCCAGGGTTCCAGGCACCTTCTCTATTATTGCTCTGCTGTCCTCCATGGCAGGAGTCAGCAATTCCTGACCCTGGCCACTTGCCTATTTCTATAAATAAAGTTTTATTGGCACACAGCCAAGCCCACTTGCCTGTATCATGTGCAGCTGCTGTTCTGGGGCTGCAGGTGCAGGGTTGGAAGGTGCTGTGTGGCTTCCAGAACTACGGACATTTACTCTCTGACATTTTAAGAAATTGTGCGCCTATTCCTGCCTGGGATGTGTCCTGTTCCCCTGGTTCAGGAGGGTGACTTCACCATGTCCTGGCCACCAGGTTGGGGGCAGTGGTCCAGGCACTGTCCACATCACTCCTGCTTTTGCCTGCTGGGTCAGAACATAACATTGTGGCCACCAAGTTGCAAAGGAGGCTGGGAATCATGGCTTTTCACTGGGCAGCTGTGTGTCTAGCACTGGCCCTCTGTGCCTCTGTAGGACATGGTTCTTTAGAAATTCATTTGCCTAGTTATCCTCAGCCGCATTCTCACAGCCTCCCTACCCAGGACAGAGTGGCTTATTACTGTTCTGTTCTTGGTCACTGATATTTACGGCTACTAACCACCCACCATGGCCCCAGCCTAAGTTTCCTGAGAGACCATAGGCATCCTAACTCAGCCTGGGTTGGGGAGGCTGCTGGCCTTGGCCCCCTGTGAAGAGCTTGCCAAAAACCAAGGTCTAGGCACGATCATGCTTTGTGATGGCTGCATGGTCCAGGGAGAGCAACATAGGGAGAGTGGCCGACAGGGGTCTCTTCCTGTCCCTTTGCATCCTGCAGGTCAGTGTCCAGTGGGCCAGGCACCAGCTGCTGTGGTCAGCCTACCTCTCATCTCCTGCCTGAGGTGGGCAACTTCAGCTGTCCAGATGGTGTGGGACCCTGGAGCCAGCTTGGCTCCCCTGGGAGGAAACACAACACGCTTCCATGTGTAACCCACCCAGCTCTTTCCACGTGCCCTCCTTCCTGCGGTGCAGGGCAGGGATCGTGGGCCCCAAGGTGACTCCCAAGCTTCTCCCAGTTCTCACAGAGTGACCTGGAAAGAAAGCTGGCAGGATTTTCAGACAGAAGTCAGACATCAGGGGCTTGTGGACCTTTCCTGAGTCCCCTTGCTGTGGCTAGCAGCTGACAGCCACAGTTCTTGGCCCGTCAGCCCCTCTTTCTAGAACAGGAAACTTCATTAACTAGTCATTCCAGGGCTCCTGGGTCCTAGGAGAGAAGTTTCCCGAGATCAGCAAGACCCATTACTCTGATCTTTCCTAGCCTTGGCAAAAGAATTCAAGCAAGCAGGTGCTGAGATTGCAGCAACCACCCTGTGTTCCTGGGGATGGGGGAGAGTGGCTGCACCACCACTGTGAGGGTTTGCTCACCACGTAGCCCCTCTTCCTCCTCCCTCAGGGACACCCCATGCCTCATGCTACAGGCAGCTCTGAAGGGTCCCAGTTTCCCTTTCTCAGCAGAGAATTCCACCAGCCCCAAACCAAATCTCAAAAAAACCCACTTACTCTTGCCAGAATTTTAAGAGGATGATGTAGACTAGATGTGGTAGTGAGTGAGGCCCCAAGTCATTCTTGAGCTGAGGACCAGCTCTATGGGTGCACAACATCTGAAAGTTTCCTAAATGAAGTTAGGGAGTGTGGCATCCATTAGCACTCAAAGTGCATTGCCCAGAGTTTAGAATAGAAATTATCGCAGGCTCAAACTTACAAAACTTGCTGGTGTTACAATTCATTAGACAGATTGACAGTCAAGTCAAAGTCGGGTGGTCTGTAGCCCACATGGGATCTCACAGAAAATCTGACACCTAGAAAATCACTTCTCAAAACCTCATGTGCCTGGTTGGGCACCCATAGCTTGGTGGTTATGGCACCAGCCACATGCACCAGAGCTGGTGGGTTTGAACCCAGCCTCGGCCTGTTAAACAAACAAACAACAACAAAAAAAAATATTGCTGGGGATTGTGGCAGGTGCCTATAGTCCCAGCTACTTGGGAGGCTAAGAGAAGAGAATGGCTTGAGCCCAAGAGTTTGAGGTTGCTGTTAGCTATGACAGCATAGAACTCTACAGAGGGTGACAAAGTGAGACTCTGCCTCAATTTAAAAAAAAAAGGGCAGCGCCTGTGGTTCAGTGAGTAGGGTGCCAGCCCCATATACCAAGAGTGGCGGGTTCAAACCCAGCCCTGGCCAAACTGCAACAAAAAAATGGCCGGGCGTTGTGGCAGGAGCCTGTAGTCCCAGCTACTTGGGAGGCTGAGGCAGGAGAATCACCTTGCCCAAGAGCTGGAGGTTGCTATAAGCTGTGACATCACAGCACTCTACCAAGGGTGACAAAGTGAGAGTCTG